ATGGGGATGTGTCTCCTATCCTATCCACCGGCTTCTTTGGGCTCTCCAGCCCCTCTTCTTCTGCCTGAGGTTTTCCAAATTCCCGTCTTCTGGCCGCCAGCAGGGGACTCGTTGTGCTGCCCGGGTCCGCAGCCTCGGTGGGGCGGGCAGAGCTCCGGGAGGAAAGAGGGCGGCTCGGAGCGGGGTCCTTGGTGTCTCTGCTCACCCTGAACAAGAGAAATGTGGGAATAAGTTAAGAAACTTATAAAGTAAGTTGTAACATCAAGTTCTTTGTCTGCTGGCTGAGATGCGAGCTGCTGGCGTCTTCCCATTGACATAATCATGTCATGAGATTGATGCTGGAAAATAAAACAGCTCAAGGCGCGTTCCACAGCAGTCCCGTCCCGTTTGTGGTTTGTAAAAACCCCCTGCCAATGTCAGATAAACCCGTGTTAGTTTAGCTTGTGGGGTTCCCAGTGACGGGGATGTCATCCAGGAAGGACAAAAAGCAGTGAAAAGCTGGCATTGCCATGGGAGTCTCGGGATGAACTCACTGCTGCTTCCAGCAGTTGGACAATGCCCAAGGATTTTATCTCAAATAAGCCCAGGTCAGCAAGCCTGGATAATTCCTGGTGGTGTGACCAGCTTCAGCTCTGCCAAGCCAGCACTTACCTCCAAATATCCTTCTTCTTGACAGATTACAGCAATATGTAGGATTTATTTCATTCCTGTCAAAGCCAAAGATTATTCACTAAAATTTTATGAAAGCAGGTCGCAGCGCACCCCCGACACATCTCAGTGTTATTGCTGGGCATGTTTCACCCAGGCTGCTGCTCAAACAGGAGCCCTGCTACACCTGAATCTGATGCTCCGGCACAGTGAGGAGGGATGGCCACACAAGGGATCACATCCCAAACCAGGGATGGTGCAGGAACCACATGGGATCCACCTGCCACAGGGATGGGGGGACTGCAGCCACCAGTGGGCTTGGGGTCACTGGTGTCACCAAGCCCCTGCTTAGTGATCCCCTCCAAGCATTTTGACACTTTTTGATCCCCTCCAAGCATTTGTTTTGGCAGTGTCCCCACTCCCAGGTACCCCATCACTGCTCAGCAGAGGGAAATGAGATCCGGCCTTACTGGGATGGGAATTTGGGAAAGAAAGGAGGAGGGAAAAAGAGGGAACAGGGCAGAGCAAAGCAGCAGGACCCAAAGAACAAAGGAATCTCTGGGAGGGAGCAGCAATGATGAAGGTTCCTGCCCTGGGAATGCCGCTGTTGCCATGGGAATGGGGTGAGAGGGGAGAATTCCGGGACGCTCGCTCGGACCAGGCTCTGCTGCTGACCCGTGAAATAATTCACATTTGAGATGGGCTGAAAACGAACTCCAGAGCTGGGAAATGCGGGATTGCAGAAGGGAAGGGGCAGTGGAGCAGCTCCAGCTTCCCGGTGCCCACTGGCACAGCCCAGGGCACAGAGGTGCCCTCCTAAACTGGCACCCACTGCCTTTCCCTGCCCGTTTAACCAGCCTAAATCTCTTTATTATTAAGGAATTAACCAGAGATTTCATCTCCCTGAACCACTGCACCCTTCAGGCCCGTCCCATGCTGACACTGCTGAAGCACCACAGCTGATTAATAGTTTGAGACATTTCAATAATGCTGGATTTTAGGACCCTAAATTGCATCTTACTTAAACGGCTGGTGTAATCCTTCGGTGAGGTTTTGTACAGAAATTGCTCCATTCATTCTGCACGTTTCCAAATAATATTGTAACCTGTGTGCTGCATGAATGGCTTTCATAAATTAAACACCGGCATCAGGGTTTTTATTTGGGTTTTAAGGCTGAGATAAAAGTGAGTGGAGATGTGAGAACCACTAATGGGCTGTGAACAAGGACTGAACACGCTGTATTTATTGTCCTGTTCAACATGACTGACAGGGGATGCTTTCCTGAATATCTTCAGGGTCTGAAATGGAGTGAAAGCTGCAAAGGTGGGACTGTTCCAAAGGTGGGATTGTTCCAAAGGTGGGGTGGTTCCAGCTTCCATGACTGCCTCAGAGTCCAAGCAGGGACTTCACACTCTCCATGCCCTGGTTTCCAGTGAAAGTCCAAAACTGCCCCATCCATCCTTGTCTCTCCCAAAAGTTCCCATTTTCTGCATCCATTAAACTGCCAGAGGCGGGGCTGGATGGGATATTGGAATGAAATTCTTCCCTGTGAGGGTGGTGAGGCCCTGGCACAGGGTGCCCACAGAAGCTGTGGCTGCCCCTGGATCCCTGGAAGTGTCCAAGACCAGGCTGGAGAGAGTTCAGAGCAACCTGGGATAGTGGAAGATATCCTTGCCCATGGCAGGGGATGGGACTGGATGATTTTTAAGGTTCCTTCCCACCCCAACCATTCCATGATTTGTTTCTCTAACTGTTCCCTTATTCCCTCCAAAATCATGACTCATCTTCCTCATCCTCATCCTCCTCACAAGGCAGGACACAAGAGCCTCTGCTCATCCCTAAATCCCTCTCTGATTCCCAGCACGAATTCCCAGGGCTCAGAGTGACCCCAGGAAGGCACAGGCAGCCCCAAAAGAAGGTGAAGTCACGGGAGGCAGGACCCTGAGCCCCTCCAGCCCTGAGCAGAGCCCTGCTCCTCCAGCATCCTCGGGGAAGATGATTTTCCCATCTTTTCCCAGCAAAAGATGCCTGGGAGGCACCTGGAAGCCAACAGAGCTCTGCAATCTGCCATTCACACCAAACCAAATGACATACAACAATAATTAGCGAAGATTACATAGCAATTAGCATGATTACAATTATACCAGCTGAAATCATTTATACAATAAAATCCACACATGCTTTGCAACACATGACCAGGGCCGAAAGTGTGGCTGGGATGCTTTTCCTGGGAGCTGATAAATAAAACCCAAGACAGTTTCAGGGAGGGGAGAGACATTGGCCTCATTTCTGTCAGGAGAGGATTTTCTTGTCACACCATCATCTACACAAGAGCTCCCAGTTTCCCACGTAATGATTTGCTTCTGACACAGTCGTGGTTAAAAATAAACCTGTCGGATCCCCAGCAGCTTTGGGACCAGGGCTCCTGGTTTTGTCAACCAAGGTGGGAGGGGAATTGCTGCCAGGGTGATCCTGGGGCTGTGGATGCCCCAATCCTGTGGGATGCAGGATGGAGAAGCAGATCCTGAGCTGTGCACCCTGACTGCACCCCTGGATAACCTCCCATCACAGCACAACCCTGACCTGCCTGGAAAGGGCCACAATAAATACATAAACTTTTAAATTGCCTTCTTAATAATAAAAAAAAATCATATTTATCACAACCCTGAGCTGTGTCATATTTATAGAGGCTTAGCTCTGCCGGCCAGCGTTTTGTACAAGGAATTTAAATAGCAGAGAATTAAAGGCAACGTTAATCAAAGCTCTCCCTCCTGTAAGCACAGGGGTGATAAGAGCCGCCTGCTCTCCTCTGGCTCTTGGCAGCTGTTTGTTCAGCAAACAGCCCAGATGTGGTGCGGAGCAGCCAACACGAGCAGGACTCGTTTTTCATTACTGGGAGCTTGTGTAAGACAAAGGAATCTTAATAAGGAAGAGCTCGTTTCCCTGATCTCGTTTTTATTACCTCCAGTCTCGTCTCCTGTTTGTTTGCATTTCATCCCCTCCTCTCTCGATTTCCATCCTAGATGAGCTGCAGCCTAACACAGCAGCTCCCACACCAGCATTTGCAATCTGTCCCTTCACAAACCCCAGGACAGAGGGAGATGCTCACACTGTGGCCAGGGCTCAGGACAATTTGATTTGGGCTCAGGACAAAGGCTACAGGCAGCCCAGCAAACTCCAAAATCCCAGAATCACCAAGGCTGGAGAGGAATCCAGGAATCCAATCCCCACCTTGTCACCCAGCCCAGAGCGCTGAGTGCCACCTTCCTTAGGGATGGGGACTCCAAACCTCCCTGGGCAGCCCCTGCCAAGGCCTGATGACCCTTTCCATGAGGAAACTCCCCCTGATGTCCAACCTGAAAGCCTGCATGTCTTCTGCTATAAATCCAAGCTATAGATTGGATATATATACCAGAAATAAGATATTAGCCACAATGCCTGTTTTTCTGTCATTCATTAATGATCAGAGCTGGGTTATTTGCACCAAAGCCTCCTCAGCAGCACTTAGGAAGGGCTTTATTTATTGTGCAGGCTCCCAGTGAGCTCAGCCCACTGGTCTCAGAGCTCCCACTCATCACTGGTCTATGGGAGTTGGAATGGGATGATTTTTAATGTCCCTTCCAACCCAAAGCATTCCAGGATTCTGTGACCTCCCCACAGGTCTGACTGCTCTTAAACTCTGCCTTGTACCTCCCCAGACTGCTCCAGCTCACCCAGGGTGTTTCCTGCAGGGGAATTTCTCTTCAGAACATCATTTCTGACAACAGTGATTCTCCTGAACAAGGCAGGTGGGGGCTGTGGGGATGCAGCTCTCCGGAATCAGAGCAGGGAGATTAATACTAATGTCTGCAGTGAGACTGTGCTCACAACCCTGACAAATCCTGTCACCTCAGAGCATTTTCACCTGCAGGGAGCTGTGCCCAGCCTCAGCCTGGCACCTGCCCTGGTTATGGGGAGAAAAACTGGGAAAGTAGTGATGCATGTCCTGAGACAGCATCTATGGGGGAGCAGTGAGGTGGGGAGGTCCTGAATCACAGGGACTGTGAGCAGGGGCACTGCCAGCCCTGCCCACCCAGAATTTCAGCCCTGCCCACCCTGAGTTTGGATGGCTGGCACCTTGGCCACCTTCCCTACAGGGGGATGATGCTCTCTGGAGCCCATTCTTCTCCCTGCCCTAGGATTCCATCCCTGCTCCATCTCTGCCCTCACAAACCTCCAATACCCTCCTCCATCCTCACCAGCTCCCTCCACAGCGCAGCCCCAGACCCTGATTTACAGATTTTTTCCAAACTCAAGCCATGGGATTGTTTCACACACGAAACACAAATTTCTCTGTGACACAGAAATGGAGTTTTTCTCTGGACTGGGTGGTCCCTCTGATGGGCACCAATTCAGGATGGGCACTCACAGAGCAAAGCATTTGGGCTGTGCAGGTGCTTGGGCCCCTCTCCATCTCTCCCCCAGCCCATCAGCATCACCACCAAAAATTAACATATTTGATATTAGAACAGTAGAAATGCGTCCCTCTCCCTCAGCGGCGAGCATATGGCATACAAATCCTCAAACAGGCTGCAATGCCTCTTTAAATTATCTCCAGAGAACACATCAAGGGATATTTTCCTGCTTGAAGCACGTTTTTGATGAAGCGACTTTCATCTGGTGTTTCACTGATCCCCGCCGTGGCAGTGACTGCCTCCCTCGGTTTGATGTTTTAACCTTAAACACCACGGGTCCCTCTGAGCTCCATCCTGTGCATCCCAGAGGAAGCCTCCGCAGCTCAGCACCCCCAGGATGGGCTGGGGTCCCTCACCTGAGGCTCTGGGTGCTGCGGCTGCCCACGGATGGTGCTGAAGCGCTCCCGGCCACGCTGGCACTCA